AATATAATGAGTTTTGTATTAATTGGATATAAATATGTGTGATTAATATAATTATATTTGTATCAATTAGGTTTGTATCAATTAGATTTTATTATTTTAGTTTTTAATAGAAATATTTTCCAAAAGTGTACAATAGTGTACAGTCTGAAATTAGTGTACAGAAGTCTCAAATAGTGTACTGTACACTTCAAAAGTGTACGGTTGGTCACACTATTCGTGTTACAAAATGTATCAATGGTCAATTTGTTCTGCAATTTATTTAAATTTTTAGTTTTATATATTTATAATTTTAATTTATATTAAATCTACGAAATAATAATAAAATTACCACGTTAAACAAAAAAACAATAATGATAATAAGTTTGTCTCAAAAAGTGTTAATCTAGTTTACATTATTCATTTTACTCTCTAGTATTATGTATAAAAATTACAGTGCAATAATATTTTATAAATAAAGTATAAATAGAAAAATTGGTCCTAGGTGCCAGCTTTGAGACACATGGCTCATAATTAATGCAAACTTAATAAGACACTTATATGGCATTATTTATACCTAGATACACTCGAAATATTATTACATCATTATACATTGTGATTTACATTTATATTTCAATCGGATATAATAAAGTAAAACATCAAACACTAAGCGACAGTATTGCTCACCTTATTGTTGTCATTATTTACAAAAATAAATAATTTTTATTACTTTTATATTTAATTATTATTATTCTCGTTAAAAATGATTATATTTTTACGTATCATTTGGAAACAAGTGCTTAAAGTTATCGTTACTAAACATGGTGAAAACAATCTCTCTCTCTCTCTCTCTCTCTCTCTCTCTTTACGAGGGCTGATGGTGTAGGTATTGGCGCCACTGGTAAAAGCTGTTGTACACGTCAGGTATGTAACCAAAACGGGTTAACTCAAAGAACATACGGGCGTATGTGCTAGATAAAGTACGTTCAGTGGCCGCGGCGTCCGGCGCGTAGGGTGTGTTGAATGCGTATAACATGTCGTCCATATGGGTTACACCGTATGTTTGTTTAGAAATCATCTTGGCATTTTTCTGTATGGGTCCCAGGGAGCGAGTGCCCTCGAATTCAAACGCATACACCCATACCTTTCCCCCACCCATAGAGTGCAGTCGTGCCACGAAATCGGAGGGTGCGATGTATAGGAAATCGCCCATAAGCTAGATTGTGTGATAATAATAAAAATTATTAATCATCATTATTTGCTATATTTTTGTGTATAATTTATATGTGGGTCAGTCTATATTTTTAAGATTGGTAAAATAGTTTGTTGATTAAAATTTTATGTATAGATAATTTATTTTGTTCAACATGTTACAAAATTATAATTTAATTATAAACTGTCACTAACATTAGTAATAATTTTTAAATATAACTTTATTTAGGTAATATAAATATTTGGAATAACCACAGCACTCTAATTCAATTCAAGCTATTATATATTTTCACAATTATTTTGACAAATTCAACTATTAATTTAATTTAAGTAAACGGTCAGTGAGTATGAGTCTAATATAATCAAACATAAGTTATGTTACATAACTCAATTTTGTAAATCACAAATGATTACTACTAAAAATTGCAAGAAATACTATTTCTATAATTACTCAATACATAGAATCACAAATCTCAAAACAGTAAAATTTAATCTTACCTCAACCAAAATCTGATCATTCTGATACTCCTGACCACCACCAGCCGCGATATTACTTTGATAATTATTTTGTATACCACTTTGATAGGGCATCTGATTATTCAAACTATTAAACTGTGCGTTATTTCTAATACTCTGGGGTCCATTAGCAAACTGCGATGACAGTGCATTCCTGCTAAAATTTTTGCCAAAATACTGATAATTGATGACGGTCGCAATCACATCCTCCGACGCCCACTCCTTCAGAAAGGGTCGGATCAGGAAAGCGATCTTCTCCTCATTGGTCCGCCGGTTGTCCGCTCTTTCCTTCTGCAGGTAGTATTCAAGGGATCCCTCGTTACGTGTGAATCCTATGTGTTAAAGCAACCAAATATGTATTATACTGTAGATTATTTAATATCACACAAAGTAATCAGGAATTGCTAATTAAACATCCGTAACAAATCCTATTATTAACTAGTTTATAAATTGATAATAATTGTTGCTATAACTTTTCAAATATTATTCCAAACTTACAGCTATTTATAGCTCAACACTTAGGTTACATTTGAGTAAGTTATGCAATTCTAGCTCTAGTAGAATATTAGGTTAGGAACTTAAAATGCATAGCAATTGTATTGTATATTGTCTTATTTAACCTTATATTAAGTTTAAAATAATTAGATAAAATTAATGTAATGTTAAATGCACTCTTCATTCCTAAACAAATAAACTGTAACTTAAATCATTTCAATATATTTTACAAAACTTAATTGATAAAATATCAATATATTGGACGTAACAGAAACCTTTGTTTAGCATTTAATTTAAAATAATTTATTTTATAAGTTTATTTACTACTAAAATAACTAGTTTGCAATTTACTAAAAACAATTATGGTTGCCTTACCAATCATGTACGAGCACTTTTTGAACTGCCCGTTTCGGTACAGAGACTCCGGCCAGTCCTTAAGCACACCCGATGAGGTCAGGTTACGGTCGACCACAGGTCTGAACCAATAGGGCTGGACATTGCGCTCGAGATCCCGGTCCCGGGATTTGCCCATTAGTGCGTTCCTGTCCTGACCCCGGAGGCAGTCAAGCATTTTGTCCGACCGCTGATCGCAACCAAAAAAGTTGGCAAAATTCATGGCTTGATCTTTAGGGTTGTCCTTAAATGCCCATGGTGTGAATACTGTACCGCCAATTGATATGGCCGAATTGAAATAAGCTGCGTATATTGTGACAAATTGGTGATAAAATGTTTGTTAATTTGACTGGTTACATTAGTTAATAAAAGTTTTAAAAATATAATATTTTAAACAATTTTTATCAAATAAAGTAAAATAAAATATTTCAGTTTTGTGTGTTAACCTTAAATAAAACAATTTTTAATCATTTTATGTTAAACTTAATTTGCCGTCAATTTGAATTACAGTTTGTAAAACTATTTAAAAGTCTATATATTCTTAATTAAAAATAATGATTTACAAATATTATGTAATTTATGGCTAATAGAGAATATTAAATAAATTCTGTCATTTACTAACAAATATAACATATTGTTTAAAGTAGTAGTAGTAGTAATAAAGTAAATTACTAAATAAAATAGTTGAGTTGTCAAGTAAGAGTCCATAAGCAAATTATACTAGAATCAATATAGTAAACTAAAATTGCTTTAATTATAAATGTCAGTTTGTAAAGCTATATATTTTTCTCAATTCCTTTAAATACCGAAAACATAATGTAATAAACAACTAAATATTAAATTAAATTAATGACTGAATAACAACTGGATAAATGATATATACAGTAGTTGCTTTACTTTACTTTATAATAGATATTATATTAATTGAAGAAGTAATTATAAGTTGTTATACAAAAAAAAACAATTAAATCACAACACAAGCGCAATTAATAAAAATAATTATAAACATGATAAATACGTACGCCAAGCGGCCGGATTGAGCACGTGCATGGATACAGCTATACCACCGGCATCGTGACCCATGATGGTAACATTCTGGGGGTTGCCATTGAATTGAGCGATATTATTGTTAATCCAGCGCAACGCCTGTACTTGGTCCCTAATACCGTTATTTCCCGGTATGTTCACGTCATCCGTACTCAAAAAGCCTATTGTATGCCACCAAACAGGTAAATAAACAAATTATTAAAATCAATGTCAATTTTAAAAATATTACATTTTTTTATCTCAATAAATATTTATCAATTAATAAAACTAATTTTTATTGTTTAAAGGTCAATCATGTTTATTTACCTAAAACGCCAAGCCTATAGTTAGCGGTAACCACTATAATGCCATTTGACGGACCGGTCAACGAGGCATCCAATAGTAGATCGGGTTTAACATGATCTTTGCTGCCGTACTTAAACTCACCACCGTGGAAATAGACTAGCACGGGTAGGTTGGATACAAATTGCTGCGGCTATACGTATAATACAAATATTAAAAATTAAATTTTTAAATAATCACCAATTTCACACAATATTTATTTCACCATATTCTTATTTGACTTACAAACACGGGTACGTAAATATTGAGCAGTAGGCAGTCCTCGGACTCGTCAATCTGCTCGGTCTGCGTGTATTCAAACCGGTCCTCCACTTGAGGGCACATTACCCGCCGGTTTGTGGCGTCCACTTCGGTGGTCCACTGATCAGGGTCAGTTGGTGGCTATTTTAAAAAATCAATTTGTTTGTTGTTAATTATTTGAAAAATTAACTTTATAAATAAAAGAGTTTATTTGTGAACATTGTGTTTCAAAGTTGACCTAAAAAGAAAAGTTTTAAACACAAACTTGATAAACAGAATTCTATCACCATTGTCATTTTTATTTATAATAAAAGATGTTTAGTTAAATAACAAAATTAAAACTTTTACAACAATCACAAAACAACCAAAATTAACCAATATTATTAACATATTGTAAGCCATACTAATGTTTAAATTATAAAGGACGTTATAATTACAGTTGTATAAAAATTAAGTTATTTATATAATTTAATAATTTTATATAACTTATAATAACTTAAATTTATCCGATAGTTTATTATTTATAGTAGTGATAAAAATTAAAACACCCGTTAACTGCCAATCCATGTTAAGTTGTTTTTTGTATAATAAGTTATTTTCAACTTTATAATGATGTTTATGTTACAGTCTAATAGCACCAATAAACAAAATTCTTTCTATAACATACATTTTAATTATAAATACTGTACAATTCAAACAATTTTTATTTAATTAAGTGTTAAGATAAATTATATTAAATTTTAAAATTCAATTATTATTAAGAGTATTTAATTATATAAAATTCATTAAATGAAATAAAACTTACAGCAAACCGATCAAAGCCGGTGGGAGGCCGGGCATAAGGCACACCAGTGAAAGCTACCACTTGTTTGGGCGCATTGTTTGTTGTAGTCGTGTAATGGTATGGTAGGCCCCGTACGGGTCCGTTAGCCGTGTTTACCACCGGATTATTATAGTTTATTTCAACCGTTTGGCACACATTTAATAATAGTCCCAAAACATTGCACACAATTAGTAGACTTTTTAAATCTAGTTGGTATTTTAATAACATTTTAACTATTTAAAATTTAATTAAAACTTGTATAAAACTAATTTACAATTAGGTTGTTATTATAACCAAGTTTATTAACACAATTCAAACACTTTTACATTAATGAATAAACATTTATTAAGTATATTTAATAATTTTTTTGTAATAAAAATTATTTAATTAAGTCGCGAAGCGTTTGATCGATATTCAGGTAATGAGAAAATAATTACATTTTTATTATATTATATATCAAACAGAGATTTTTATTGCAACCAGAAATGAGTTGATTAATACCGTAGACAACAAACAATACGAGTCATGTATTGCTATGTTATAGTTATAGGCTTTTTAATCTCGCCGGAAGTTTGTACGCAAATAATTACATTAATATAAAATTTTTCATTCATAACAATTCATAGGGAAATGTTATTTTTAGTGTTAAAAGTATTTTTATATTTATGAATTAATTTATTAATATGTACTGGTTTTGTAAACTTATATTACTATTATAAAAAAACTTAAATAGTTTCGTTTTGTAATTGTATTTAACCGATATACTTAATAATAGTTATGGTTAAACACCAACGATAACAACAAATATGATAATGAAATCTTAATAATAATAGAATATATCAATTATATCTTAATCAATTAATAAACTGTATTAATATTAGTTCAGATATTTTAATTATTGCAACAATTTAATTTAATTTATAATAATTTTCTTAAATATCATTTACTAAAATTGTGATATATTGAACTGATTTATGTGGAAAAATTATCTTATTGTTTTTATGATTAATACAAGTACACATTTATTTGTTTATAATGTTTATAATGCGAATATAATTGCATAGATATTGAAACAATTATATCTTAATCAATTAATAAACTGTATTAATATTAGTTCAGATATTTTAATTATTGCAACAATTTAATTTAATTTATAATAATTTTCTTAAATATCATTTACTAAAATTGTGATATATTGAA